GTTGAGTCGTGGAGGGGAAGAGTAAGCCTCTTGAGTTATCATATGCTTCATAATGGATCCTACTTGCGTCTATGCGTTCTATGGTCTTCATTTTTCTTTCTATAAGTTCTTCTCAAGGGGAGAAAGAGAGAATAGAGGTATTTACTGTATTGGACGTTGCATATTCAAGAAGGTAAACTCTATAGAGCTTCGCTGCGTCCCGAGCTCGAGTGAGGTGTTTTGATTCGGGTAAGGCACTCAAGGGTAGTAAAGGTATAACTATCATCAAACACGTAAATTCACGGGGTAGACTCGCTCGGAGACCCGTCTACTGTGTGGTTCGTAGATTGGATCTTGAAGAAGGCTTAAGGCAGGCGATTATGTAGTTGGACTGTGCAGTTCGGAGAAGAGAGAAGAGAGTGACCGGGGTGGAAGATTGAAGAAGTAGGGTGTTCGGTGTTTCTCAGATGAGAGATGTGGAATGCGGAGGTGTTATGGACGAAGATGACTAGAAGGGATGTTGTTGGTTGGGATGGTATGGCTGTACCGAAGGGGAGTAGGCCCGTTCGATGGGTTGGGATGCTGAAGGGTATGGGGCGGGGGAATAAGCGTGCACGGCGGGAGGGGGCTGTGTGGTCGGAGCATAGGCTTCTGCTGGAGAGGACATGGCATGTGTGGTGGTGGGAGCGAACATCTGGGCTGTCGAATACCCTGTCGCCGGAGAATACGCCTCAGTGGAAGACACGGCGTGGGTGACTGGAGAAAAGGCTACATAGCCGTGCTCCGGGGGCACAGTCTTCTGCATGTCGTTCTCCGGCTGTGGAGGTCCGAGGTGGGAATCGTGGTGTGGGCGCTCGTGCTTGGGATCGGATACGGCGGCATGCGATTCCTCGAATGGATTGAATGCCGTGTAGCCTTCATGGCTCGTGGAGCTGATCGGGGACATGGCTCCCATAGCTGTAGCGGGCGGTTGTCCGGCGTAGTAGTTATAGATGTGTTCGTGGCCTTGATCGTGCTGGTGTTCGTGGCCGTACGGTTCGTGTTCTGACAGGTGTCTATTGTCAGAATCTTGATGCGACTCTGTGGCCGACGGGTTGAAGGCAATGTAATCGGCGGCGTTATGCGCGGTCTCATGCGAGCCAGCAGGGGAGGCTCTGTCTATGTGGTCAATAGCATGGGGCTCGTCGTGGTCCTCGTCGTGGTGCTCATCGCGGTGGTCGAAGTGCTCGTCATGGCTGTGATGGTCGTCCAAAGGCGAATTGATGTTGGCAGAGGGATTGGACGCGACATAGCCAGTATTTTGATCATGTATCGTCTGATGTGTGTCAACCGGGTCAATGGCACCCAGTGCCAGATCGTCTTCATGCTGGCCATAACCGCCGTTGTCTCCATTATGTCCGGAAGCAATATTGCCAGCGAGTGGCATTGGAGAGCTCCTGTCGGCTGGGCTGAACGCAGTATAAGTGTTCGCAGTCCCTGCACCGATCGGAGTCGTCATTCTTGTCTCCCAGGTTTCAGCCGGGTTAATAGGCGGAGGAGACCTCGTATTGCCAGGACCAGCTGGTGTGAATGACCGTCCAGGGTATTCATGATCCCTTTCAGGATAAGGAGTGTCACTCAGCTGATTTGCGGAAGAGAACGGCTGATTTGGCATGTGCTCGACAGGGGAACGAATTGCACCGGGTGTCAATGCTCGTGCGTTCGGTCCAGTTGCTGGGCTGTAGGAACGGAAAGGAGTACTTGACTGTGAGTAGTAGGCCTCCTGGTTTGCGAACGGATTGTACCCTTCGCCAGGATCCTGCTGGTGGGTCGCATACGGCATATGGCTATGGTCAGGCATGGCAGACGGCGGTGCCGGCGGGTAATGGGATCGAGACATAGGTGTCTGAATGCGTGGCATAGGTGGTGCAGGTGACGCTCGATCCATTCCCCCATACCCTGGAGCAGGAGGCGGGGGAGTGAAGTTCTGACGCGACATGGGAGTGTGGGACCGAGGCATTGCTGGGGCCTGTTGCTGAGGAGCAGGCGTACGGGTTGACCGCGACATAGGGGTCTGGCTGCGCGGACCAATTGGCTCTCCATACCCCTGAGCCGGAGGCGCCTGGTTGAAGTTCTGGCGTGGCCTCGGAGTCTGGGACAGCGGCATCGGGGCAGGCCCTTGCTGAGGAAGAGGCGGTACTGGAGGCGCCGGAGTTCCATGTCGATCAAGAGGGCTGTATGTAGACACGGCAGTACTACCGGACATAGAAGCAGCATCTGAAAAGGAAGACTGAGTCACCGTGCGGCTAAGTGCTGGGGGCTTATCATCGAACGTGGACAAGTCGGGAAGAGTTGGTTTGCGGTCTGGGGCAGCTGTGCCGGGGCGAGATGAGTATGCTGGCAACGTCGTTTGCGTGGTGCTCCGCGAAATAGTCGTGACTATCGGCGTCTTATCATCATCGTGCATGCCAACTGTCGGCAAAGTCGGCTTCCTGTCGATACCTATGTTGGGCTGGGTGGGCTTCCGATCCTGGAGGGCCACGCCTTTGGCCAGTGCCTTGTTGACCTTCTTCCGAACAATCTGCGTCAACCGTGAATTGATCTTGCGCTTGCAGTACCTCTTCAACGATCCATCTTCCGTGGGAATGTGGTGCCAGAGGAACAGCAAGTAGAGCACAACGGCCAGCAGCAGCTTGAGCATTGACAAGACCCAAATGACAAGAGTGAAGATCATGCCGACCAGGACAATAGCCTGCCGCGTATTGTCTTCCGCCAGGACCTTGATGTTGTGAAACAGCTGAGAAGCAGTAGACCCATCCGTACTATCCGTATTACTGCCTCCCGGGAGCAAATCCATCTGCATGACTGAGTAGAGAGTGATAGCGTTGACAACCTGTCGCGGGCCATCGGCGAAGATTGTACTCATCCACGCTACAGCAAAGTCAGCCCATCAATCCTCGACCCAACAAAAAGACACATGAACTCACATTCAAAAGAAAAATAAGCAAAGAGCGCGACGTACTCCGCACCCTTTCGACTCTTGGTTAACTCCGCGAAGACCAAGAAGCGCCTCCACCCACGACCATTCTGACCCATGCGGATACTCTGGATGCGCACCGCGAGCGAATCCAGATAGCTGTGGGCGATGCTGCCCGAGCGCATCGCGCGAATGGCGCGCAACCAGCGGTAGATCAGCAGAGCGAACGAGACGATAATGCAGACGGCGAAGATCCAGCGCGAGACCTTGAACGGGATCGCAGGCTCAATTGAGCCCGCCCACCGCGAGAAGGCCAACAGATTGACGGCCGTAAAGGTGTCCACACCGTAGACCGCCACCGAGACCAACAGAAACACATAGATCAGAAAGTACGAGAATCCCGACCAGCAGGATTCGGACTTGAAATCACTCAGGTTGATATAATCCCATTGTTCCTCCAAGGCCACGGGCCCTTTCTCGCGATCGCCCGAACAGAACATTATACACGATGAGCCACGACGTGTGGGAAGTAGAGATAATCTGCTGATAAAAAAAAAGAGAGAATGTGTCGTGTGAATTTGGGCCTTTCGTCGGACCAGCCGGGAAAAGTCAGTCACACGTCGCAGGCGTAGGCGACGTAAGAATGATTGGAGAGGTTTTTTCTAGTCAGGGTCGGTCGGTCCCTCGACAATGGTTTTGTATGCGCCGACGAAGTTCAAAAAGAGCGACGGAGACGGGGAGGGGGACGAAGATGGCGGCAAGTCGCGTCAACAGCGCATAGCCGCTGGACAATGGGTGGATGTGTTAATCGACATGGACGAATCGTGCCTGAGCCATCGAAAGCCCGTCGGTGATATGAGGATAGCGCTGAAACGACAACGTGCGGCGGCGGCAGTAGCAGCAGCTGTCAGCGTAGCGGTAACGTTGCCAAGATAGGGGAAACAGTGTTGGGCGCGTGCAATTGAGGTGGTTTCTCACCACATACAAGCGGCCAGAGAGAGTAGAGTGTGTGGGAAAAATCCGATAGCAGACAGCAGGAAACAGAGGAACAGAGGATAAACTAGCTCTGCCCAGGCGCAATATCCACCTTCACCACCCAAGCGAGAGACACTCGGGGGTCGGGGAGCAGGAATCGCATGAGTACGTACTATGTAGAAACTGGAAAGAATGTGGAGAATTGGCCGTGAGGAATGGGGGGGCCGGCAAAAAAGATGAAAAGATGAAACATGGGGAGGGCGCTTGCCATGCACTATTCAATGATTTCAATCTATTGAGCTTTGGTCCCTTGGGTCAGCCCAGTTACTGATGGGGTGGATGGGGCTAATGGAAGCCCCTTATTGCGCTACTCTTGCAGGAAGATTGAACGGGCACACCGTTATCTCCCGAACGCCGAACCCCCTGATCCACATCCACTGAAGTGATCAAAGCATCAAAGTGCTGAGATCAGCACGGTCCCCCTTGCACGTTGCAACTGGTTCATCATCTCTCTGCTTGGCGGTTTCGGAATAATCGTGCTCACTCACAATTTAATTGTTTAATTTGTTATCTTCCTCGATGCTTCCTAGATACTGAGTACATGAACATACTGTTACAATATGGTAAGCAGAGGGCTTGGGGGTTAGAAAAAAGCATCAAGCATGACAGGGTGAGCCGCCTACCCCTAAACTCAACAATGCCAATCGACGATAAGAATGTGATGCTTGACTGAGCCACCAAGAAGGCTGGCCTGATACTAGAACCAAACGTCATCTTTATTGCCATAAGCCAATTAAGCAAGCAAGCCAGCCAGCCAGATACATGTCCAACAATTTCGTCCGCCAAACTTGCGCCCCGCCCTTCATTCAACTATCGCCACCACAGACACAACCCTACCCATAGTTACCCGACTCAATCAATGTCACATGCGTCGGAGGCCAGTCCGGCTGCTACCCGGCTGCGTCTGGGACGCTGGGTCTTCGCATTCGAGATGCTAATGCGCAGCTTGCGGAGTTCCTCATACAACTCGCGGTTCTCCTTGGACCAGCGGATCTGATCCTCCGTGCGTGCTCGCTTCTCCCGTTCGTACATCGATTTGATCATCGAGAAGTCGGCACGGAGCTTCTCCTCGACCTTGCCCGCGGGGCTGGCCACCTTCGCCTTCTCGAGCTTCTCCGTCAACTCGTTGATCCTCGTCTGCTGCTCGGAAACCTTGACCTGGCACTGCTGGAGGGCCGTCATGACGGACCCCACGTTCGCGGTCGGTCGCTTGAGAATCATCTGTTCGTCGCGAGCTTTCTCCTCCCATTGGGCCAGACGGACCTCGAGGACCTTGTTGACTCGCTCCGCGGTGTCGGCCCGTTCCTGGCCACGCTGGGCGTCCCTCATCGCCAGTCAGATCTGAATCTGGAGGGTGCGGTTCTCCTCGGTGACTTCGTCGAGATTCTTCTGCATCATGAACGCTTGGTTTCGCGCCTGCTCAGCTTGAGCGCGCGCTTCCGCCACAGACAAGTTGCAGGCCACTTCGCCTTCCTGCATGCTCTGCTGCGCGCTGGCTCCGCTGAATTGCGCTTCCGCCAGTTGTCTCTGGGCTTCGTCTAGGTCGAACTCTAACTTAGCCACCATCAGTTGTGCTTCGATTTCAACGGAGTTATTCTCTTGTTGAAGCGCGTGGTTTCTGACATGGGCGGCGGCCAGCTCTTGCTGCATCGCTTCCAGAGACTGGCTATGCTGCAGGTTTGCTTGATGTGTGGCCCGGAATGCCTCGTACTCTGCAATGATATTCTGGTTCTGAGCCAGAAGCTCCTGAAGCTGGGTTTCACTCTCACGACCGTGCTCCTCTGCAGTGACCAGGCGCTTCTCAACGTCGACAGTCTTGTCAGTACAGGCCTGGAGTTCATCGGTGCGTGTCTGAAGTGCATCCTTGAGTGACTGCAGTTCCTGCTCCTGCTCCTGGCTGAGATGCTGCTGGCCTTCGATGGCGGCCCGTTGGCCATGTCCCTCCTGCTGGCCGTGTTTCTCTGCGGCAAGCAGACGTGACTCAACGGAAAGACACCTTTCAGTCCAGATATTAAGTTCATCGGTTCGGCTCTGAAGCTCGTCCTTCAGCGACTGAAGCTTCTGATTTTGGTCGTCGCGCTCGGCTTCGTTCTGCTGACTATGCTTTCGAGCAGCGGTCAGTCGTTTTTCTGCGGCTGCGAGCTTATCAGTCCGAATCTGAAGCTCAATCTTCAGTGACTGGATCTCTTGGCTTTGGGCAAGGTTCTGTTCACGCTCGGGTTTCGCCTGTCGATTGTGCTTGCTTCGAGCAGCGGCCAGACGCTTCTCTGCATCGGCAAGCTCATCGGTGCGGGTCTGAAGTTCACTCTTCAGAGACTGGAATTCCTGAATTGGAATATGGGTCTGTTCGCGCTCGGCTTCATCCTGTGGACTGTGCTCTTTGGCTGCGGCCAGTCGCTCTTTCGCAGCTGCAAGCTCATCAGTGCGGGTCTGAAGTTCATTCTTCAACTGATCATGTTCCAGTTCGCCCTGCTGACTACTCTTCTCCGCGGTAGCCAGCCGCTCTTCCGCAGCTGCAAGCTCATCGGTACGGGTCTGAAGCTCACTCTTCAACGACGAAAGCCCCTGGGTCAACAGCTTCTCGCATTCAATCTCCACACGTCGACCACGCTCCTCCGCCGCGGACACGCGAGTCTCAGCCTCAGAGAGCTTGTCAGTGAGGGTCGTCAACTCATCAGTGCGAGTCTGAAGCTCATCCTTGACCGTCTGTAGCTCCTTTTTACTCCTAGCGTTGCTTTTCTTCTTCGCGCCAGCCAGCTGCTTCTCCAGCTGCACGATACGGTCTTTCAGGAACTGCTCCCGTGCCGCGTCCACTTCATCCACGACGACGAACTGGGCCTCGGCTCTGGCCATGGTGAGATTATTTTCCAGCTGGACGACCTTCCTCTTCAACTCGTCGATGATGCCCGCGTGTGCGTCTTTCGCCTGGCGGAGCGCGCTCTGAATCCTGCGGGAAGTGAAATCGGTCTGGTGACGGACAGTCTCTTCCAGCCGCTGCTTCTCCGCCTGGAACTCTGCCTCCCTCGTCGCTATGCACTGCTGCAGTTTCTCATTCGCAGTCTCAAGAGACTTGGACAAGTTCCACAGATACGCCTCGCATTCAGTGGGCCGGGGCTCGCCGTTCACCGCCAGCGCCATCCCCCGGCGTAGAGCGGCAACTTTGCTGCAGAGAGCATAAAAGAGCCACAGCCCTATAACAAGGGTCGGGATCAAGACGGCCATGAAGGCAAGAACGCGGAGATGGCGGACCTCGCTATCCACAGGTGGCACCAGCCACTGCGCGCGGTCCTTGACCGTTTCGTACAGTTCCAGCCCCGTCTCCACGCCGGAGCAGCGGTAGCTCGCCAGCCATTGCTTCTTGGTCCAACGAGCCGGTAACCCACTGCGCGCCATGTCGGCAAGGCAGTCTTCGTAGCGGTCCCGTCCCATGGGACTGAAGCCCGCGGTTATGCCGTTCAAATAATGGTGGCCTGGGATCAGAGCAGAGATGTACATCCACTTGGACCCGGCCGCTAGGGCCCAGAGGCGGCATGCAGTACTCAAAGGCCGGTTGGTTGGAAAGAACCAAAGGATTCCGATGAAGGTAAGTTGGACCAGGTTAGAATTGAGGATTGTGTCTTGGGCGTTGGCGTAACATAAACGATAGAAGCTCTTGCGAGACTCGCCATTGGACAGCTGCTGGACGGCCCAGTGGATATCGTGTAGCAAGGAGCGGATAGGCGAGAAGATGAACCTTTGAACCCCGGTCAGGGTCAAGGGCGCCAGGTCCGGCAGGAAACAGATGATGATTGTGATAAGGATTATGGCTTGGAAGAGTATGGTGCCCCCGTTGGTCAGATCGAGGTACGTCAGCACGTCGAAGCTTGAGGCGTGCGCCGGATCGGTGACCTGTCCGTAGAAGAAGATCTGTTCTGCCGCGTTTGACATCTTGTCGAATGAGGTCGAACCTGACGCTCAGAGGTTCTCGTGTGGGATGTTCTATGAAGTGATGAGATGAGAGGCTTTACACGTCTGTGGTATGGTCAGTGGATGCTGCTCGCGTCTTGAGTGGTAAAGATGGATAGCTTACAAGTAGGAAGAAGTAGGATGATGAGAGAGTGGTTGAGATTCTTGAGAAGACTTGAAGAATTCTGTTCTTCTGTGAAGCTGTCACAACACGCGTCGGGCCGTCGAAGCTTTTCGCGGTGTCAATGTCACCAAAGCCTCTTCAGGCCTCCAGACATATGTCTGAGACTTTCAAGCGTCTTTCACAGGAGAAGGAGTCGTGTTTTTCAAGCTCTTGGAAGGATGTAGAAGGTATTAAATGATTGCAAGTTTGCGAAAGAGATCTATGGTTTGATGGAGAGAGATGTGGAGGAAAGATGGTGAGAAGAGAGGCGAAGAAGGAGAGAGATGTGGGAGAGAGAAGGGTAAATAAGGTAAAGTGATAGAAGGAGATATGTATGGAGAACGTGAGGGTGGGTTGCTACGGAGAGTGAGGGAGTATCCAGTGAATATCAAACTCATGTTGTCGTGGGGGGAACCAGGTATCGTCACCCATAGTAACATGATCACTTCACTCTCCCAAGCCAACATCAGGTAAGTGACCACCCAAAGTGAATATTGCATAGGGAAATAAGAGACTACTTTGGCGTTACTACTACTCTTGAATATCGAAGAACAAATCTGACAGCTTGTACCATACACAATTAGCTAGAACACCGAAAACAAGCACTGTATAAGAACCCTGCCATACAAGCTTGATAGATCAAAGAACTTTTTCCTGTATTCCGTAGAGCGTTGCTACTTTGAACACATATATACACACCAAATGACTCTGCTCCATTAGATTGGCCTGCCTCCTCATCCATACCACCAGGCCTACATCCACCCCTTCCTATCTACTTGGGCCCAACCATTATATGCAGTCTATATCTTCAGTCGTAGCTTCATTCTCCTCAAGCCTGATTCTTCTTTGGCATCCTGGGCAATCCCAGCCACAACAGCAGGATTCCTCCAGAAAGCCCGATGATGAAGGGCTGCAACACTTTGACTCCGCGTGCCTGCGCAATAGCACCCACAGCGAACGGCAGGATAGCAGCGCCTCCGCCGCCAAACGCAGCCGCGAATCCAATGGCACTGACGTGAAGATGGCGAGGGAGGAGCTTGGTAGCCACCACCACCGCAGCCGGGAAGAACGGTCCCAGGAAGAATCCTTGCAGAGAAACAGCCACTGCGGATGAGTAGAAGTTCGGGACCAACCAGAGGACAAGACCTGCGGCGATAGCGCAGCAGGAATATATCTGCGGAGTGACGATGTCAGAAGTAATCGTGCATGGGTCACATTATAGGAGGGATTGAGAGTCGACGCATTGGATCTATGGATCCTGGCAAGGCGAAGAAAGACCGGACTATGCAGTGCAATGGGCAAGGGAAACATACTATGATTGCCAACTTCTCGCCAATGCGCGGGGTGATAAAGCCTAGCACCATGCGCCCCACGGTGATCCCAAGCCAAAACCCGGTAGCTGTCATCCCACTTGCGAAGGACTGGCCATGTCGGACCTGGATCATGAATGTCACTATCCAGCCGCCCAGGGCGACTTCGATGCCGACATATCCCAGCAGGAAGATGGCACAGATCCAGGTAACCCGCGCATAAGACTTCTTGAACAGCACTTCACGAAGCCCCGCCTTGTTTTCATCATCTGACTGTGGCTCTCTCGCCTTGTCTCGTTCTGCCGATGCGTCCCAGAAGGCTGAGGCACAGACGGCCAGTTCAGTGGCCGCACAGGCAATCTGCGGACAGTAGAAAGGAGAAACTTGTAAGCCAAAGCTTAGAACGATACAAGGGCCGGATGACGTTTTTGGCGGAACACCAGTCTTACCAGGATATAGTAGTAATAGTACCACGGCACATGGGCCTTTGTGATCAACGACGTTGCGATTAGGGGACTGATCACACCTCCAACACCGTAGAGCCCGTGCAGAAGCCCCAGAATCTGATTAGAGTCGGCCATGTTACCTATCCAAGCATTCCACGAGGCATCCCCAAGTCCATTTCCGAAGCCTGCAAAGATGAAAGAGACGACCAGGACCGGGTAGGGGGGGTGACAACAATTGATGATATACGCAATCACATGGCAACTGGGCGTCAACACGGCCACTCCTCGACGGCCTAGTTTGTTGTGAATTCGGCTGTTCAGAAAGGCAGCCGCGGTGTAGCCGACTAGCGGTGAGAAGAAGACGAGGGACACCACAGTGTAGGAGAGACGGTAGTAGCTTTCCAGCTGCGGCAACTGTTCAGTGGCGATCACACGGCTCTAAGACGGTCGAACGCTTACATAGGGAATCAGAGGCTACTATGGTCAGTCTCGGTCAAGTTCCAGATAAGAGGGTAAGGCGGTCGATCACTCACCCCGTAGGCTGCATCATTCATACCCATAACCAGAAAACTCCAGAAGGTGGCGAGGGTCTTAAATACATTAGAGCGAGGATAGTTCCAGCGCTCAGCCTCGTGGAAGACCTGCGTCGGTTCTTCGTTGGAGTCGAGAGAATTCGCCTGGTTCGTGTTGCGGAGGGGAATCGGCTCCTCCATTGCAGCCATGTTGAGGTCAAAAAAGTCAAGTGGAGGAGTGCGTTTGGACCCTGCAGGGTGAGGGGAAGCTCGCAGGAATATATATGAGGGTCACTTCCTTGCCAAGGCTGCCAAGTTGGTAGCAATAGTAATTCCGATTCAATGCTTGATGGCGGTGGAGACCCCATACTGGGTTCCTGGGCCCTGAGCCCTCGTGCTGGCTTATTACCCATTTTAGGCTTATTTGCACAAGATCTCCACTTTTCTAGCTGCTACGCTACTTGTATTATATGAGGTCACTACTCACAATGTGCAAATATCGCAGTCATCCCGGTGCCAACACGAGGCCCCATCAGTCTAGATGTATATAATAGGTTTCTGTCGGTAATTTATCCTTATCTGATCGAAGGGACTCCTTGCATCAAACTTTATCTACGAACACCATGGTTTGACGTTCCCTGGTCGGTTACACAACATCATACTCGTAAGATGATTGGGGTTCTCGATATGCAGTTTGCTTTCCAACCCGGTCTTCATCCGACTGGGCTGGAGCTCCGTTACATATACGTAGCCAATCTATACTCTATCAGGAGTGAGTCTGCGTGCACGGAAGTAAGTGAGATCCTGTGAGATCCTGTGAGATCATGATGCCGACGATACGACTATATCCAGGTAGATAGAACGGGATACACATTCAGATTGAAGTGAGGTCAACGGCTCTACGAGACAATTTAATCTCTTAATTACAAAAGTGTGCATTCCGTGCCGATGACGTATATCGGACGGATAGATAGAAAGCATCCAAGCGAGAAAAAACAAGCGCGAAAAAAAGACAAAAGAAATCTCACATTGCATCATCCGTGAATCGAACACGGGCCTCATCGATGGCAACGATGAATTCTACCACTAGACCAATGATGCTGGTTGATATATTTTTGTGCTTCAAATTACATAATGTCATATTCACAGCCTGTGAGAAGGAAACAGAGCCTACCCAAGAAGCAGTACACCAATGTACGTATAGTTTGGAACAACATGGCTAAGAGCTGTATCTACAGTCGCTCCACGTATGATTATAGCATGAGACTCACGAACAAAGCAATATTGTAATTTCGATTCACTCTTACAGTAGTCAACCCGACTTCTCTAAATCATATTTTCCGTTTTCATCGACCTCGAATCCCTATCTCACAAATTGCGAATATTTCCCTTAATACGTATACTTCCTCTTTGGAAAAAAGGAGTGCTATCTATACTGCTTTCCGAGCATTCTTACAAAAAATCAAATGAAGCCAGTCGAATGAATATACTGCATCACCCATTGCTCTGTCCAGCAGAGTCCACTTCAAGCACATACAGTGCGGGTTATTCTGGCGCAAGAAGAGGTGCATCCTCCGCGTGCAAATCACCACTTTTGGAGCCATGCCCACGGCGCTTGCGACGACGTTTTTTCTTCGATCCGCTGCCATCGCCATTTCCGAGATTGACAATCTCCCCATTCTGCTGAACAGGGAACTGGGTCTGGGCGGTAGCATTGGGTGTATCAGACTCGGAGGAGCTGGTGGCAGTGCTAGTGGTATGGAGGACTACTTTGCGGATGCCGTTGACGTCAACCACCTGCTCCGTAATGCTACCACTGCGGGCGGGGCCCTTGTGTCGGTAGCTGCCGGGCCGGAGACGATCAGAGAGTTCGGAGTCGGTCGACTGGAAGCTATGCGCAGGGCTGTTGTCCTGCTGTGCACGAGTGCTGGGGCGAATGTTATCGTCCTGTTCCTCATGGACAGCTTCCGGTATGGAGAGTGCCGGTCCGTCGGTCATCCGCGCCGTATCGGATAGGGAGCGACCATGACCTAACGTGCCGTAGCCTGCCCGAACGGCATATACACCGTCTCGCGCATCCATTCCGCTTTGCACTAATCCGGCACCGAGGCCGCCCTGCAAGCCAGAAGTAGTGCTTCTAATCAAGCCGTCCGCGCTCTGGCGAGACTCTAGATCAGTATGGCCAGACCGCGAGGGAGAGGCACTCCGCTTGATCTTCACACTCTGATATCTAGTCTGGCGAGGCCGGCTAGCAAGATTTGAAGGGCCGAGATGCTTCAAGTGCTCGCGAATTTCGTCCGTCGCACCTCGTTGAGTCACCAAGCCATCGGTGGAGTCGGAATTCCTGTCTGATTGGGGACGACGAAACTGGAAACGAGGCAAGGGCGCTTCGACAGAGCTTCGCCGGTTTTCCTTCGAAGCACCGTTGGTCGGGGGTTCCGCGGTGGATTCGCCTTCGATGTCGATCAGCGGCCCACCTGATTCGACAGGTAGCATCGGGGGGTCTTCCACAATCCGGCCTTTAGGGACTCGAGACTTGGGAGCCGGAGCCATACGACGGATCGCCTTGTGAACGTCGACAAAAACATCGGATTCATCGATGATCTCCCTATGATAGAATTAGCCATGCTCCTACTCTGGCGTAGATGAAGTACATACTCTCCGATCAATTCCTCGATCACATCTTCCAAGGTGACCACGCCCAAGGCGCCGCGATCTTCGCCCGGATATTCCGATA